ATTATAATGATTAAACTGGTTCATGTATCACTTAGTTTACTGAACCGTGATGAATGAAAGAAATTAGTGAGGTAGTGGTTTACTGAAGTTACAAAGACATTAATATATGAGTAACAGGTCAGTGTAAACACAAGCTTCTGTCAATTATGGATCATTCAAACTATTTATATAAAAATATGTAATAAAGTTCTAAAACAAGTATTCGGTATATTCCTTGATAGCTTTTGGAGAAGGTTGTTTTTAAGTTTACTAAAATCTATCGTTTCAACTGTTTCACTTTATAAAAAGGGAACAGGTGAGTAGAGCATCATTGAGTTTCTTATTCTGTCAGTAAATTATCCAAATTAAATGTTTTTCATTATTTTAGTCAATCCTAAACAAATTGATTGTACCTTTTAATGATGACCTTACATGGTCGGCAAAGTTAAATTAACTTCAGAAAATCAAATCTGTTCTGAGAAAAAACTAATAAATGTTTAAAGATAGGAACTTGCCATCCCACTGAAAAACAGTCCGTAGAGATTTAAAGGCGTAGTTGTAGTTCAGTCCAACGTTTAATTTGGATTAATTTGACAACAGTCAACTATTTTCATAAAGAATATATATATTTTTCAAAGTCAACTTTATTGTCAATCTTACTCAGTTTGTGTTTATAGACAGAGATCAAAAAGACATTTAAATAAAATTATACAATTTACAGATATGTATACAAATATATATATCCTATATACACCATCATGTATAATGATGGTGTATGATGTAGAAGGAAGTGTGGTAGATAACAAGTAAGGCCCAATCCCAAACCACTCCCTCGACCCTACCCCTCCGTGACGGAGTGAACTCCGTCTGTAGCCACACTCGCAGCTCAACGAGGCTCCCTCCTGTCAGATGGAGGGAGTAAATACAGCAGCAAGCTTTGGGACGGCCTCCCCTCTCTCCGGCAGAAACAGGAAATGCCGTAACTATGTAACAACGGTTTCAAATCAGCATCTCTTTGACAAAAAATGTAAATTAATAACTCAAATAAAACTTCAAACATCTTTCATTGTGTTACTTTTTTGTAAAGCTCTTTTAGTTTTAAACCTGATGTTTATAAGCTTCTTAGTTTTTGCAAGTCTGTAAATGTACACAACTTTATAATAAAATGCACACATTTACCTTTTTCTAGAATAAACACAGGTACGATCCTAAGTTAAAACATATGAGGTCATCATGAGGTTGTTAACATCGCAGTTTATCAGTGGATGTTTGCTGGAACTACTTGTTAACAGCTTGTTTCCTGACGGACACACACAGCGTTGAGACCGGTCAGGTAGAGACCGGTCTCAAGTCAGCACCGCTGCAGACTCGTTGTTTGAGGGCTTGATAGCCCACTCCCCCTCCACACCGCTCCACACTCGTTGGTTTGGAACAGCCCTCAATATGGCGGACCCTCCGCGTGAACGCGCAAACGGAGGGGTAGGGTGTAGGGGGCGGTTTGGGAATGGGCCTAAATATAGAGTTATATACAGATCCATGTTACAGCAAAAGATGGAATAACTAAGAAGCACGCAGTATAATAATAATTACATGCAACAATTAAATAACTGCTCAGCATCTCCACCACAATCCCAATCTGCTGTGTCCTGTTTTCCTCCCCTCTGCATAACACCCCATCACACATACGAAACACAACGCAGAGTCCGAGGGTGTTAAGAGTATGTTTATTTAAATGTCCTCCTCTCTACTGGCCAACACAGGGAGCATATGCTGGGTGTAGAATTTTTCCAGGAGGAGGAGATTTCCATGCCATGCAGGGTCTTTGGGGATGGGGATGATGATCGCCTCCTTCGTGGTCCACACAACAAAGTAGCAGAGACTCCGGTCTGTGATGTGCAGTTGCCCTTGGACCTGGTGCCAGTATGGGTGATTCTCCTTGAGAATGTAAGACCCACCCTCCTCACGAAGACAGAAGGATGGTAACTGGACTGCCTCCGCGATGGTCATGTTCCTCTGGCTGTGTGGACACTTCACCTCCAGCAGGGCAGATGGCTGCACAAGTCCATCGGGTGATGCTCCCAAAACACCCGACTCACTCACAAAGAGACCAGACTCGATTCGAACACTGTCACTTGATAGGCCTCCACAAAAGCCTTCACCCCTCCTTCGGCCTCGTTTACAACCCCCCAGTTGACAGTTGGCGATGTCTCTGGCCAGTGGGTTGTATGTCTCCTCTCGCTGTTGGTAAAGTTGAGACACCGGCTGGACTACTTTTTAAGTGCCAGGCTTCCTCCACTGGCACTCAACATCTGTGGAGCTGATCTGCCACATGGCAAATATTGCCAATGCTGCAGCGTGGCTGCATTTGTACATCCCCTGTGCACAATCACAGACAGCGCTCTGCATCGCGCCATCGTCTCCCATGCAGATCTGTAAAAATAAAGTAAGTACCATTTGTTAGCATGCTATAATAGATTGAATGAGCAATAATACAAGGATGGTCCGGATCTGGGGGTGGGAGGGTTTATTTTTCCATAGTTTTGTCCTCTTGTCTGATTGTTGTTATTGTTTGTTTTTTCTGTATTTTTGTAATTTGTGCTGTATTGGTTGTGATTGTACATTGTATTTTTCTAAATGTGTGTGAATCGTTTTTGAAAAACATTTGATCAACAATAAAAAAGGATTTGGTCAGGATCTAGACTCAGTGTGTAGTTTATTAATTAATCAATGCTCTCTACATTAGGGAAACACATACCAGTGTACCAGAGGGAGTCACACACAGCTGTGACTAGATAACCAAAATCCTTGAATCTACACACAGCAAATAAACTCAAATGACGCAACGAGAAAAAGGAGATCACACATACAGTATAGTCGATATAAAACTGTCCGCTTCAATCTGAAGAGCAACTAAAACAAAACACGGGAGTGTACCTTGTTCTTGTGAACACTAATGTTATCCACAGCATACACAGAGACCACGAATTTCTTAAGGAGAAAACTAGTTACTAAAACAAAACACGTTAGTGTACCTTGTTAGCTAATGTTAGCTAGCTGACATTAACGTTACACATTGCACTAATATTACTCACCGAAACCTTGTAAAGCCGGTCCCGCTGCTCTTACAGAACCGACTAACTCCCCTTTCGTGTATGTACAGCTCTCAACATGCCCAGACTTGTAGTGATGTTCACCTCGTTTTATACTTTTCGCCTCATTCTGAAAGAAACAGGTGAAATGTGCTAACGTGACGGCCGTCTTTGTGATGGTGACGCGTTTTGTGCGAGACCAGAGACCTGTAGTTCACCGAGCGGTTTCACACAAAAAAATGTGTAACTTCACAGTTTTACGACACATTTTAATTTTTTTGACTAGTAAAATGTTCTTTTAAATTGACAAACATCATATGTGTCATTCGTGGCACAATTCAAACGGGATCAAAAGATAACCTTTCTCTCTCCATTGACTTCAATGTATAATTTTCCGCTTCCGGGGTCCCATGGAGGCTCCCGGAAGGGGAGGGACTTCGCCTCTCTATATAAGTGAGGGTCTGAGCTTTTTTAATTCCATTCCATTCCATGGTTCTTATTATACATCCACGAGGGTTCAACGGTTCAACCGATCGGAATCGCTTCCTGAAGCAGTCACGTGGTATCGACAGGCAGCAAGGCTTCGTTTGTCATCGATGACGTCACTGGCCCAAAATAACACAAGCCTCGATACATTCTTCACAAAAAGCTTCGGGGATTACTCGACACAAGCTCCGAAGTCTCTGCGAAATACTAGTACATCACTAGTATTTTCAGTTAAACCTCGTATCTTTTCCTGCATTTGGGTCCTGCCTGCTTCGCTCACCCGACACAAAGATTGTTCAATGAAAATGACTTGAAAATGGTGTATCTTATTGATAACTCTACATTAAGACCAATCATTCTGTCTAATACACTTTATAACACTTTTATACTAATAAAGGACTGGCTTTTCTAAAGCCAGTTGAGTAGCACTTGAAATGTTTTTGCTCTATGAAACCTGATGTACTTATATGATTCTGTTTTCTTCAAGTTGTATTTTGTTGGTCGAACGCACTTATTGTAAGTCGCTTTGGATAAAAGCGTCAGCTAAATGCAATGTAATGTAATAAAAAGTTAAGGTTTATTTTCCAGAAATTATTTAAAGCTTATAAAAGTAAAACAATTACAGTATTGACATACCTTAGCCATACAGTAAGGTACATTTCAGGTCTAGCAGTAAGTGAAGCCATCATGTGGTGAGATTATTGAAAAACCAGAAAACACACATTCCATTGTATGTTGAATTTTATTGAATCAACTTCATGATTAATTCACTTTTAACCATTTAATATCATGGAGATGTTTAATAATACAATAAAGATGAGCACATAAAAAGCATTGTGTACATTATATTTTTCAGTTGCATGTGTCATCCCTTTCTCCTGTTTAAATACATTTTGACTTGGTAATGTTCATGTTGAGGAGTTGAGTATTTCAGAAGTTCAGTACATTTTACATGTGAATAGTGTGGATGATTCAATACTTTCAAAGCCAGAAAGTTCTTGCATTGAGGACATACAACGCTGACTTTTATAACTTTGTGTATTTGCTAGTTTTACTAAATAGTAAGCTGGATAACTTGAAAGCAGACCACTGCACTTATTATCTACCTTTCAAGAAATAAAAACCAAAGCTGTCATAGTGTTTATGATCTGAACTTCTCCGCTAGTAAACAAACACAAATATTTTCCAATAATATTGTATTAATCCTTCAATGAGACATGTACAGTTTTGCATCTTTAATATACCTTAGTGTCATAGGAGGGCAGAATTCACCATCAAAGGCATCATCCAAATACAAAAGGTCTACATAATCTTTAGCAAAAGCCTCTGTTTATGAATGGGGAATGTTGTAGCTTAAAAAGTACTCCAAGTGCTCCAAAAAGTATGTAAATATTTGAAGGCCACCTCAGTTTTCTGTCAGTAGAGACACATATTTACTGGTAGCTGCTACTGGCTGATTGTTTTGGTATAATTCTGAATGAGTCCTTGGAAGTACTCATGTGTGTTTCTGTGGGATTGAAAAATGATGATGTAGCATTTTGGGATGAAGTACCACACCAGAAAGGAGTAGAGACTGGACAGTATGGCCAGAGCGTTTAGTATTGGGATGTACTTTCCATGGTAAAGCACATATGTAGTAGCAAAGATGATCCAGGTGAGGATCAGCAGGAGCAGACAGAAGGTTATTGCTTTGGCCTCGTTGTAATTTTTCGGGAGGTCTTTCCCCATGTAGGAGAAAATAAAGCAAAGGAAGCACAAAGACAAGAGGAACAACACAGGACCAGAGGTGGTTTTGAGGTCAAGGTCACAACCAAGTATGATTTTGTCTGGGTACCAAACTGTGTCCTTGAAGGTGTCAGGAGGGCAACACGTATAGCCAATAAGAAGTAAGAGTGCCTGAATACCAAATGCCACAGTGATGACCAGCCATTGTCCATGATACTTGATCCACCAACTGTGGAGTTTGGGGAACTTGGCGGCTATTTTGAAGATGAAAACAATTTGAAAAGAGCGCACAACGAAACAGGCGAGACAAACTGTGTAGAACAAGATAAATGGTAAAAACCTCAGGATACAGAAGGAAGTTGTTGGTTCACCAAAGTAAAAGAACACACTTATACTACACAGACTGAGGCAGACTAAAATGAGGAAGCACATTGGTCCCCCAGCAGATCTGACAACAGGTGTGTTGTAGTTGATGGCAAAGAGAACAGATACAGCGAGTGTGAAGCCCACCAAGGCCCAGGCCCCCACCATGATCAGTATAGCCCCGGTGTCTGTGAACGGGATGTACTCCACCTCCCGCAGGTTGCATGATGTACTTCCTGCTGCAGACCATTCTGTGTCCTTACAGTCGATGCACCTGTAGGGATTCCCTATTTCATGAGAGAAACACAAATTGTAAATCTTAACTATATTTTGGGAGGCTTTTTTGTGGATATTTTTGTAATAATATTCAGTTTTTTGAGTGCACACATTTAATAAGACCAAATAAAAAAACGTGTTCTTTTTGGTCAGAAATGTAAAGGTGGAAAAAGCAATTGCGAAAAAGTTATTGGTAACTTAAAATAAAAGACAATTGAGGTGGTGTTGTTACATTTTCATATCAATGTCTTACACTTCATTTTTTCTCAAGATGTTTTGGAGTAATAATAATAATTCACCTGTGATGTTGACATATGTTCCACTCTGGCACATCACACAACTGAAGCAGCATTTGTGCATTCCATCTTGCTTTTTGGAATATCCTACTAGACATTCTTGGGAACATACCGAAGTGGGCACCTGTGCAAGATAATCATTTAACAAAAATGTATTTAGCAGAAAATGAATTTAAGCGAAGAAAACATTGTCAGGGACGGCGTCAAACAAGGAAAGTGTGAGTCCCATTGCATAACTATTCACAACATTTCTCAACTGGCTTTGTTTAATGTGAACATCTTATTTTAGACATTTGCTGTACCACCAACTTTTTATTTTCTTGATAATCTATTTTGCCACTGTTATTGACAAACTAGTTTGCTTTGCATATACACATTCCTGTGCAGAAAAGGTAAAAGCAAAGCAGAATATTTTAATGATCATACCCTGTAGGCACACTGCATTATTCCACACATGATTTGGTAAAAATAACCACTTACTTCTCCGTCTGTGTACCACTGAATTTTGTTTTTGTCGATGTAGTAATAGATTGATGGGTGAAATTTGTTATAGCCGATCACCTCTGCTTCACCACTGTCATTCCAGAAAACGATAGAATAGGATCCAAAATTGGGTTCAATATTCTCATCAAACTGGATACTTTGATTTAAAAGTGTAAAGTTTGACTGCTTCAGCTCGGCAAGCACCTGGAGTGGGTAAACAACATTCATATGACCATCACTTTATTTGATGTCAGATTTGTAAAATGCCATTTTGTTAACCTCTTTTTTCTCTTTCTCTATCTCTAAAATGTCTTGCCTGATGTAATTTGTCAGACATTGTTAACATCTTTAATTTTCCTTTGAGGATGTGCAGTTATAAATGCTATGTGATGACAAAAGACATATTTGCTCAATAGTTTGAGTTATGACATTATTTACTACAGCCATCAAACACATACATGTGAACAAATATCAATTATTTGTATACTTACAGTATAAGGGTACAATGTAATATTGCTATTACATCTGCCGGATCCACATTGCAAAGCATTGTGTAAGGCATGAGCGATGGCATAAACAGCAGAATAAATGGGAAAATTATAAGATGGGTCCACGGAAAGGATTTTTTCTGCACTCTGGCCGCTGCAGTTGCAAGCCTGATTACAAAACTGTTTTTTTTCAAAATGTTCCCAATGAGTCTGGCTTCTGGAAAAATGGATAAAATCGCTAAAACCAGGTATTGTCACTACTGGCTGAGACACTCCAATTACAGTTCCAATATTTTTGATTCCTTTCATCTTGTGGAGCTTTGTGCTTAAGGACCAGGTGTCCCCTGCTATCCACACTCTATTGGTGACATTCAGTCGTACTGCCGACTCAATGAGAGCTTCAGCCGTCATTTTTGGAGCAAAAACAATAATGGTGTTTATCTTCTGTACCTCTATCTCTTTGAATATGTTGGCGTCATTTGTATCGACATTGAGACCTTTGTTGTATGCCAGGCAGATTTCAGTATCCTTTATCTTCTTATAGAACAATTCTAAGCCATCAATGCCATACGCGTCATCACTGTTAAGAAAAGCAACCCAGCGCCAGTTGAAGTGCTTCACGATGTTAAAAATCAAATCTATGACTTCTTTATTGGAATGCACTGTTCGCAGGAAAGAGGGGAATTTCGCTTTCTCTGCAAAGGCAGAGGATGCAGCTCCATAACTGACCTGACAAAGGAAGTATGGAGTAATTATCATCCTTTTCAGTAACCATTCATTTGACATAAATGTAACATTTAAAAATGACTGATTGTTATAACTGCTTAAACAAAATAGTTGGCAAACTTACCATAGGAATGAGATTCGCCATGAAGAGTGGGGCTACAGTCAGGGTGTTAGTGCTTGAAAAGGGGCCGACCACTGCTATCACTTTAGACAGATTATCATGTGGTTCACCCCAAGGTTGGACCAAGCCATTTACTGAGAGGAGTTGCAAAATTCCTGGAAAATTGTGTAAATCTGAGCAGTGGTCAAATATCTCATAGCCGAGAGATACGTTTGGCAGGAGTTTGGTAGAGTTGTTAATTTGCTCCACGGAGAATCTCATCACCTGAAACCTCCGATAACTTGGGAGAGTGAAGGGTTTGCTGTACAGAGAATAGACACATGAATCATCATGATCAGTGTTCAGACGTCAACACAGACACAGATGCTACAAAAAAAATCTCATGGTCCATGGATACAGGATGTAATGTAACATGTCATTGTGTAAAGAAACTGAGATAATAAAGCATTACATGGATTAAGTGAGGGTTGAAATGTGCAACAAGCTGTTGCTCTAGCATTTGATGTACAGCTCTTAATATTCAAAAAGGTTATGATCTGTTACATTTGGAGATTGTCATTAGTTTCAACTTGAGTGAGTTGAAGTTATCAACGCAGATTTCTTAAAATACTCACTTGGAGCATTCAACGGCTTCTGGTCTGTCATGATAAACAGGGTCATCATCGAAATGAATATCAAAAAGTCCACCCAACAAATAATCTCCTTCCAGCTGAAATTCAGAGTCTGGTGCACTGCATTGAGCCAAGTCATGTAGAATCGTTCCCAGGAGACACAGAGAAACTAGAAATGGTTTCATTGTTTTAAAAAAACTTTCTACCAATTTGATGTGAACTCTAATGGCATTAGCATCTGCCATTGAATAAGCAATGATATGCTTGTATCATCAACCCCCAAGTCTTAATGTGCATGACCTAGGTGATACATAACATCAGGTCTTACATTTCCTGTAAAAGGGTGGAGGAGAATACACAAATCAGTATGCAAAAAGCCTTTAGGCTGCACAGGCTCTCTTTGATGGCGACACAAAATGTACCAATATTTAAAGCAATAACCTGTATTATATCTATTATGAATAAATCTGGACCATTTGTGATAAGTCCTACTTTAGCCAAGATGACAAATGTACGTACTATATGCAGTGCCACAAAAAACTTTGTGAACCCTTCATCATTTTCTGTATTTCTGCACAAATACATGTATTACCTATATTAGTTCAGATATGTATTCAATCCTAAACCTAGATAAAGGGGACCCAGTTAAACAAATAATACAAAAAGTTACTTTAAAGGTATTCATTTTGAAGGAGTTTAGTTTAGTTGGACTTGCCTGCTGGTCTTACCAGAGTCTACGGTGCCGACAGGTACAAACGCGCTACAATGGCCCAAAACACATTAGAAGAAAAGCGATGCACTTTCAAAAACGATGCAAATATAAAAACACAAATTTGCCAAGACACATGCAAATGCAACAACTTCAACAACTTCAACAATTTGACTAAACATGCGTAGGGTTTACTAAAAGCACTGCACAAACGAAATGCTGCAAATACAAAACCCTGCAAGAAGCTACAAAAATGACACATTAAAGTGATGCACACACCTGGGACTGGAGCGCTTGTTGGCGTTTCCTCTCCTTCTGTTTAAGTACTGGAGGACATGGAATTACACATAAATATGTGAAAGTCAAGCAAGGTTTGACATATACTGTCAATGGTTAATACAGTGAAACAGTGCAAAGTAGCATTGATCATAGAGCAGACAATTGGTAGATTAGTTAAAATGCTTAAAGCTGTAATTACTGTCAAAGTGAAAGTCTATTAGAAGGGTTTTATATTGAATGACATTTTTGCTATAGAGATGATCTGTGGATGACAGGGATGAGGTAAAGGAGGTTGTAAGATCACACACAGTCACAAGCAAATACATACAAATGTATTAATAAATTCAACCCGGTATTGTTGGTTTATGCTCAAATGCTACATCCTCTTACAAATAAGATATAGATGACTTGAGATTTGACCACAAAGCTTATTTGCAATAACTCTGTGGGTGACAACGACAGATGGCCAGGCCAAAGTTTGAATTCAGGTAACCTCCTGATAGGGAGGCACTCCTGCTTGGTAGGAAACGCCAGGCACCCATCTGCCAGACATAGAGGTGACAAAGGGATGTAATGTTTTTTTATGGAAGCCATGTGAGGTGAGTATACTGATAAACAATACGTTTTGATGAATAGCAGTCATTGCTGTAAAATGTTTGCACTTCCAAGAGTTCACTTTCAGCAGCGTGACAGTACAACAACATGTAATCAGTTTGTGTTAAGGAGTTTTACTTTCTACTTATAGTGGGTTTTTTGTCTCAATCTCAACTTTTACATTCATTTCAACTCCATGCTTAAACTGTCAATAGTAACTATCAGATTTGAAAACTTGACTAAAACCACAACTAAAAAGGAAACAGTCTAAACATATCCAACCTGTAATATCATTAAGATCTACAACATGTAGCCTTTTTCTGCTAAAACAATTGGGATCCGAAGCTAATAACATGAACATTCAAGTATTTTGGAATCAAAGAATCGGTGGAATCAAAGAGATGAAATGTTAAAAATAAATTAGCTTACTACATCTTCAAGATAGTTTCTAAGTTATCCTGACTGTCCGGGTGGTATCAACACGTTAAATCTCTCTGTGATTCAAAATAAAGTTACCAAAACACAACAACATTATTTTGTATTATTTTGTGTTTGCAGTTTGAGTAAACACATACTTCAGTAGACCTTACATCCGTAGCCGGTGAACAGTACTGTCTGCTGCTTCATAGGAAGTTTAGCTAAAATGTGAAACTCTATGGGTTTGTTTTTGGAATCTTTTTTTACATTTCTATTTTAGACAGCAGTTCTTATTGATACACACAGTCTCATTCTTAGCTGATAAGTCTACAGTTAACAGATCAATGTGTGTTATCAGCAGAGTCTGAATCTGAATTTGTACTTCTGCACAAAACTTGAATTTCTGCAATCTAACATTAAACTCAATACATAAATGTATGATAACACAAGTATTTCAATCAAGTTGTGTCTTTAGTAAGCAATGTAATGTAATGTAAGTAGACAGTGTCAAAGCGAGGTGAAGTGGCGCCTCCATGTGGTGACATTAATGTTTTGCAACCTCAAAAAACAAGAAAAAACACATACTTTGATTAATCGTAAATACGGTTCATAATAACTAGAAATATAGTTTTAAATCGCTATCAAAATTAGTTACAATTATCAAAACTAACTGTATTATTTTTAATATAATTATTAATTATATTAATTTGTTACATCTTGGAGCCTTGTATACGATGAACAATATGAATCATATATGAATCATTATTATTAATGTAGTCTCATAAAAATGAAAATGAATGAAATGAATGAATGTGACAAATACATTTTTAATAACAAATGGGAAGCGATAGTGAGATTTCAACTTAAGTTTCCCTAATTCGTCAACATGAGGTACTCTGTTACTTAAATTAAAATGAATGATAAATATAAATGATGAACACAAAGGCTGAACATAAGATACATGTGCAGAAATGCAGAGGAGCAAGATATCCTTTCAAAACACACAATCTTTAAGGAGGTTGAGATATTCAGCTTTGCATTATTATGTTTTAATTAAAATGTCTAAAACCTTTAGACATTAAACTAATAAATAATGATATTTCTAAAAATATTGACTTCAACTGTCATACAGAATACAGAGAGAATCTAACACAGACACTGAGAAAAAGGGAGCATATACGGTAAAATTGTCCCCTTTGTATTGCTCCAGGGGAATGGGATACATCTTGATTCAAAGTGTGCACTGAATATGTGAAACATTAGCACATAAACTGACATCATTCACAGCAATTTTATTCACAATACAACATGTTTTGTTACACAGTATATTCAGGGTGTGGCTTTATCCCAGCTTGTAGACAGCGTCAGAGTGAAGTGGCTCCCTCATGCGGTGAGTTGGTGAAGATCAGCAACAGCCTCTTCATTTCTGAATGCTATGCCCAAATTGCAGCTGGCTAGAGACTTGATTCAGTTCAATCAGGAGAGATTCCTTCTGAGTATGCAAGAATCTTTATTGACATTTGCATTGTTGGAGAAGCCTGTGACCTAAGATTTTCAACGACATAATTACTCTGTAGTTATATTAGTTTGACAATAAAGAAACTTGAACCTTGAGAAGTAGTGGGGAAATTATTTGCGACTAGACCCCATGATATCATTTATTTTAAGGGCGAGTTGAAGCTGTAAGTAGAATAGGATACCCATTCAAACAGAAAAGTAAAGAATGAGAAGTTAGGAGCAAACCACTTGATGTGATCTTTACCTTACCAACAGTTCCAGTAGGTAATACAATCAGAAATAAACAGAGAATGCAAAGCCGCAAAGGCAGTTAATTATTTAAGAACCCCCTTAAAATGGTAGAACATCTTAATAATAGTAAAAGGAATTAAGTGAGCTGTTACAAATACAAATTAAATTGCGACGACCAAACAAAAACTAATGTCAAACTACAAATAGAAAATGTGTGTACATTGACCATAGGTGTCAGAAGGTAAAAACTTCAAAAACAAGCATACTAAAATAAAAGGTCATAAAACAGAACAAATGCAAATTAGGTCTGACAAAACAGTAATGAAGTTACAAAGACAAACAGGAATTGCCAAAAATATGTACCAATAAACAGAATACCATCAATACAATATATACATGAAAGCTTTAGCGCAAGTTCAATAAGGAAGACCTAACATGAGTCACTTACACCTCACTCTATTGCTCCCTTCCCCCCTCATTAAATACGAGGGCATCACCCCTCAGCAGCCAATTGCTGCACATGCTAAATTCCTTAAATACCTGCTCTTCCTCCCTGTCAGTTGTCATTTCAGGTGACTACACGCAACCCGCCTCCACCAGGACAAAGCTAAACTTCCTTCTTCAGACCGGTCCCACCTACTTATCACCACCACCAGTGTCTAGACCCCGGGGATTTCATCGGAGCGGTTCTTTCCCTCCTGAATGAATATCCTGCAAACCGGGGCCTAATAGCCAAACACCATTCCATTCTCCTTTTGTATTATCATGGCAATCATTTCATTCATATGACGTGTAAACAATAAATATGTGTTCCTTACATCACGTCTCTCCGGTTTGAAATATATATCATTTTCATAAACGTCAGCTGTGATTGCCCACAATCCCATCTCTTTCTCTACTCCCATACATTTCAGTCTTCCGTTAATGTGGAAGAAGATAATTGAGACTTCTCCCTGATTTATAATTCCCATGCAGGGTTAATGTTAGCATCAGCTTAAGATCTGTTCAGTGTTTCCACAATATGTTCATTTGTGTACTCTGGAAACATGTTTTTACAAACTGCTGTGCACTATTATAATTTCATTAAAAGTATTCAGAGGGTTTGAAGAACAATATTTCTTCTATAAACAGTAACACATGTTTACTTCAAGTCTCTATTGGCTGATTGTTTTGGTATAATTCTGAATAAGTCCTTGGAAGTACTCCTGCTTGTTTTTGTATGATTGAAAAATCATGATGTAGCATTTTGGGATGAAGTACCACACCAGAAAGGAGTAGAGACTGGAGAGTATGGCCAGAGCGTTTAGTATTGGGATGTACTTTCCGTGGTAAAGCACACATGTAGTAGCAAAGATGATCCAGGTGAGGATCAGCAGGAGCAGACAGAAGGTTATTGCTTTGGCCTCGTTGTAATTTTTCGGGAGGTCTTTCCCCATGTAGGAGAAAATAAAGCAAAGGAAGCACAAAGACAAGAGGAAAAACACAGGGCCAGCGGTGGCTTTTAGATTAAGGTCACAACCAAGTATGATTTTGTCTGGGTACCAAACTGTTTCCTTGAAGGTGTCAGGAGGGCAACACGTATAGCCAATAAGAAGTGTGAGTGCCTGAATACCAAATGCCACAGTGATGACCAGCCATTGTCCATGATACTTGATCCACCAACTGTGGAGTTTGGGGAACTTGGCGGCTATTTTGAAGATGAAAACAATTTGAAAAGAGCGCACAACGAAACAGGCGAGACAAACTGTGTAGAACAAGAGAAATGGTAAAAACCTCAGGATACAGAAGGAAGTTGTTGGTTCACCAAAGTAAAAGAACACACTTATACTACACAGACTGAGGCAGACTAAAATGAGGAAGCACATTGGTCCCCCAGCAGATCTGACAACAGGTGTGTTGTAGTTGATGGCAAAGAGAACAGATACAGCGAGTGTGAAGCCCACCAAGGCCCAGGCCCCCACCATGATCAGTATAGCCCCGGTGTCTGTGAACGGGATGTACTCCACCGACCGCAGGCTGCATGATGTACTTCCTGCTGCAGACCATTCGGTGTCCTTACAGTCGATGCACCTGTAGGCATCCTCTGTTTTCACATGAGAGAAAGACACGTTGTCAAGTTATGGAGCACTATTGAAATGTCTTCAAGTGAGATTGAACGGAAAAGGATGCTTGGTTAACCCTTAATCTGATACTATAAACTAGCTTTTAGTTCATTTCAAACTTGCTTCACCCTTTACACTGAGAGGTAATTATAAATAGTGTGCATGTGCAGTTTTCAGAGCCTTCATAACGGTGTCCACTCAACATAAATCATGTTAAACCTTTTAAGCCATAGAAAGATATCTATAATGAGTTCCCTTCATAGCCAGAATGACAGCACCGTTTTTACTAATTATCTTCCTCATAACTTACCTGTGATGTTATGTGTTACATAACTTCCATTTGGACAGATTTCACAATCGAAGCAGCATTTGTGGGTTCCAGTATACTTTTTTACAAATCCAACAGGACATTCTTTGGAACACACTGACGTAGGCACCTGCACAAAACAATGATTCAGCATAAAATCTAATGTAATGTAAGTAGAGTGGAAAATGCAAGTCAGTCATCCATTAGTGAAAACATGTGGTTAAGAGTGAGGCCTTGGGAGTACTTTTACTCATGATACTTGAGGTTCATTTATCAGATAATACTTCTGTAGTTTATATTATTCTGAAATAGGCAATTGTGCAAAATTAGTACTTTTACTTTTTGCTTTAAAGTGTAAAAGCAAAAAAGTGTGTACTTTTAATTAAGTAAAATACTTGTACTTCTTCCAACACTGATAATAATAATAAACTTTAGAATGCACTCATGTATAAAATGTGGTCTTCTAAATAGTATTACCCAAAGTATTTTTAAATCAACACCGAGTAAAGGAACTTCTAAAAGGGAAAACAACTTACTTTTCCGTGTCTGTGCCATTTAATTTGGCTATTGTTGATGAATAATTTGGCTGATTGGTCAAAATGATAAAAGCCAATCTCCTCTGCATCACCACTGTGGTTCCAGAAAACTACAGAATATGATCCAAAGTCGGGGTCACCATTCTCATCAAACCGAATGCTTTGATTTAAAAGAGTAAAGTTGGACTTCTTTAGCTCCGCTAGCAGCTGAGGTGGGGACAAAAAGTTCAGATTACTTCATTTATTCAAAAATGAACATACGGGTCAACCCTGTATAGAGTTTCAAGGTTGTTTATTAGATTGTGCACAGCTAACAATAAATTGAATCATTACAATTAAATAAGTTTGTCTTACAGACAGACCTATTTAATTGTAATGATTGTCATTGTGAATGGACACGGAAACATGAGTGAACTTTAACAAAAATTGCCAATTTCATTAGATGCTTAATCCATAGAATGTTAAGCATAGATTCCCAAGAATACATTTAATAAAGGATCATATTTTATGTATACTTACCATGTGTGGGAAGACTGTAATATTATCATTACATCTGCCAGATCCACATTGCAGGGCATTGTGTAAGGCATGAGCGATGGCATGCACAGCAGAATAAACGGGGAAATTAAAAGAAGGGTCTGCAGCAACAACATCTTTTGCGCTCAGGCTGCTGCAGTTGCAAACCTGATTACAATTTATATTTTGTGATGCATTTTCACAATATGTACGTCTTCTGGAAAAATGGATAAAATCACTGAAACCAGGTATTGTCACTCTTTTTTCAGAAACCCCAATCACAGTTCCAATATTTCTGATTCCTTTCTTCTTCGGGAGATTCTTGTTTAAGGACCATGCATCTGAGGCGATCCACACTTTGTTGGTGACATTCTGGTTTATTGCCGACTCAATGAGAGCTTCAGCAGTCCATTCAGGAGCAAACACAATGATGGCACCTATTCTATGTGCATTGATCTGTTTGAGTATTTGGGAGTGGTTTGTATATTGATCCAGGCCTTTGATGTATGCCAGGCAGATTTGAGTATCCTTAATCTTCTTCATGAATAATTCCAGGCCGTTGTTGCCATAATCATCGTTAATGTAAAGGAAAGCAACCCAGTGCCAGTTGAAGTGCAGCAGAATCTCAACAATTAACTCAATGACGTCTTTATTGGGTTGCACTGTTCGCAGGAAATAGGGAAATTTCTGTTTTCTTGAGAAGGCAGAACTAGCAGCCCCATAACTGATCTGTTAAAGAGTATTAGAAAACATGGTCACCATTTTTAGTGCCAAATTAAAAGTTACACAAAAGTGTACATAAAACTGATTTTATTATTTGATCCATTTGGAAAACTTACCATAGGAATCTGATTCATCATGAGAAGTGGGGCTACAGTCAGGGCCTTAGTGCTTGTATAAGGGCCGACCACTGCCATCACTTTGGACAGATTCTTGCGTGGTTCACCCCAAGGTTGGACCAAGCCATTTGCTGATATGAAGTAAAAGAGGTCTGGGAAATTGTGTGTATCTGAGCATTGGTCAAATATCTCATAGCCGAGAGATACGTTTGGCAGGAGGTTGGTAGAGTTATTGATTTCATCTACAGCGAATCTCATCAACTGAAACCTCCGATAACTTGAAGAAATTAGGGGTTTACTGCAGATAGAGAAAATAAGGTATGATTACATTCATTGTTCAAGTACGTTTATTGGAACAAAGAATTCAAGTTTGATAATAAAGCAATAATACAATTATATTTGCTACTACCTATATATCCATTTAAGATAAGATAAGATGGATCTTTATTAATCCCCGTGGGGAAATTCAGTAATTTAACAGCAACAGGGTAAGGATGAAAAACAGGACAGCAACACAGATTAATAAAATTAAGGATAAAATCAAAGATAAAAAAAAAGCAATGATAAAATAACTATAAAATAAGAAATCAATTCAAATGAACATTATACACATCTTTATGTCCAGTAATTGTGTCACATTGTCGACCCCTTGTTATGCAGGCATTTACCAGACGATTAATGTCTTTATGATATAGTCTGGTACACCAGGCGTTTTTTCCTTATTTTCAACCTTGAAAGGTATCCCTCAGATGTATTATAAGACTCACCTGGCGCAGTCGACGGCTTCTGGTCTGTCATGAAAATCAGGATCACTATCATGATGAATACCAAAAAGTCCACCCAACAAATAATCTCCTTCCAGCTGAAACTCTGAGGCACTGCATTGAGCCAAGGCATGCATAAACATTCCCAGGAGACACAGAGAAACTAGAACATGTTTCATTGTGCTAGTTACCAACTGATCTGATGTGGACTTGGGAGTTGTCATATACTGTATGCCTCGCTTGGATGAGAATAAACAAATCAACATGCAAAACACATCTACACTCACAGTCCCTGTGATGTAGAAAGTATTCAGACTGCTTCCTTTTTTAATGTTGCAACCTTATTATCAAAACCCAATAATGACAAACTACAGAGTTGTAAAACATGTTACATGCTATAACATGTACTGAGAACCTTTACTAAAACACTAGCAATGTAGCTTAGGTGCCGACCATTTCTCTTGATCCTCTTTCATATTTTTGAAGTTTTAGTTTGGAGTCTGTGGTATAAATGAGTTTGAAAACCAAAGCAAAGTATGTAAAGGTTACGACTAAATAATGCTCAAAAGTTAGGTTAACTATTGGTGATCTCTTATACCCACAAGTCTCATCATTACAGACATGCCCACGGGTTAAAACCCATGTTGTTTTTTGCATGCGGTATAAATGTGTTATTTTAAATTCAAAACACTTTTTTTACGTAGCATAAATTGGATTATGACAGGAAAGCATAGTCTTCTGGATTCAATTAGCCCATATGTACTGATATGTGAAGATGTTGTCCCTATAGCCATTTCATTGTTCATATAATATGGAGGTCATATTTTAAAACTTGACCCAAACACATAAAAATTGCTTTTGTGAGCTCTAAGTCTTTACAAGTGTAACGTGCTAAGGTGTCCTCTAAGTCAGTGGTTCCCAACCTGGGGGGGGGCAAAGAACGCAGGGGGGGGGGCGCCAAGCCTCAGATAATTTGAGACCAAATATGATATTTAGACTTTTTTTTACATATAATTGTAACTCAATACACGATTGTCACTAAAAGCCTTGTCTCTTCATTACAATACAATATAAAAAATAATTGATTAATTCATTTGAATACAAATTGAAGTTAGTAGCTATTAAAGGCATAAAAATACAAAAATGTATAATTTTTTCTTTGATAGAAATGTTTCTTCTGCCGTAAAGTGTCCAAACCAGGCTTTGCTGGATAAGCGCATTTTTAAAACATAGTCATTGTCCATGCCGGTTTCAGTTGGATTATTTGTCACAGTTGCTCTGATCAGATCGGTCTCCTCCATTTTGTAGATTATTTACGACTTTTGAATCCACATAAACACATCGGCAAAATCCGGCTTACTTTGAGCATGTGTTTTAAACAGTTTAATCCCTTTGTGAATTTGTGCCGTCCTTTAATTTCTTCATACAGCGGGAATCCAAATGAATTAATCCTGAGTCCAATAACCATCAAAGTCACTCCAATCGTGCTCCTTCATTACACTTTCATCCTCCTTTAACAAAATACTTCACATTCATCCAGTTTGCGACAGTAATTGTAGCATTTTTGAGACTTTTTTTTTAATCCCCCCCCCTTGAATATACTTCAACAAAAAAACAGCCTCCATCACAGCTCTCCATCGGGTTTCATGTATCTTGTTTGCAGTTCATCCCTTAAAATAGAAGCCTCAGATTGCTTATCATAAGAGGAAATATGAAAGCTCTATTTCAAACTTGTTATGTAAATAAGTTATTTGGCTTTTTCTCATCAACTTAGATTTGATTAACAAATGTTTTCACCTTGAATTGTCTGAATTTATTTGGAAAGTGGAACGAGATGAATACTGTGTAATATATTTGTATATACATTTAGGAAGTACAATACAAAACAAGCACAAGTTTAATTTGTGGGCCATATTTCATTATACTTTTTGAATTAGCAGAGGGCCGTTTCAAAATGGCCTGCGGGCCACATTTGGCCCCCGGGCCGTAGTTTGGACACCCCTGTTCTAAGCCTATATACACTCTAAACTTTCAAAGATGTGTACACAATGTGCTGAGCTGCGTATTAAATTGATCTACTGGTCCCCAGCTTTCAGGTAATGTATTACTACCATGTGGCGTATACTATTGAAGAGGATCATTTTCCTTCATATCACTGTTGCACCTTTTCGTATTACTTATCACCAATCTTTTGGTTGTTTGGTGTGAAAGGTGTAAATAAATTGTGAACTGTACGAAAAGTTAGTCTAGTCTAGGAAATAGACATCCAGACTAAATGTGTTGTCTGTCATTTACCTCTGCTCCATTAGTATCTACAAAATATAAGGCAGAGACAACTATGAGGTTTGAAGGGACACAGCCTCTTTAATAGCATTTGGAGTGAAAAAAAATTACACTTAAGTTATTAAAATCAAGTTGTTGTTTATAACTGTAGCACAAGAAAACAATAACATGCAATCCATGAGAAACATATTTAATTCATCAAATCTAGAACCCAATTAACCTGTTCTGCTTTATCAATTTCAACTTAAACGGATTTAAACATTTGGAAACAGTATGGTAGTTGGAAGAAAAACGAAAATAAAAATAATCTCAAAAAAATTTCATATTTTAAAATATATATATATACAAATCCTCCAGACAACCCTTTGAAACAGACTTTTTACACAACAATGTTTTGATCCCTTACTACAGTTCTGATCAAAGTTTAATAATGACAGATAATCCCTAGCAGTCAGGAGAAAAAGAAAATCAACAGATTTATAGAAGAAAAGAAAAAGGTCAGATCACCACCCACTTCATCCATGTTATAATAAAAGCTCTCAATCTCTGTTTTCTTATGTTTCCTCTGCAAAAGAAAGAGAACAAAAGTTTGCTTGGAATGACTACATTTACCACATTTGTTTTAAATTAAACACAGATGAATTACTACAACAGCTAGTCTACATACATTGAATTTACCCCAGGCTTTGAAACCCAGAGAAATGTTTCAAAGAGAAAGGGGCGTTGGGATAAACATGTAATTGCTTTGACTATTTTCTCAGATTAGACCTCGTTATAAAATGGACTTCAATACTTGTTGTGCACTAAGAAGAAATGTGTATATTTTGAATAATTATGCACATTTAGTGTTAAGATCTGACTGAGAATGACTTGCCATTTCAAGATAAATACAAAATAATTCCATAGGGGTGCTCAACGACATAGTATGGTCATCTGTTAAACTCTACAACAGCGCTAAAGTAGACAGAACTGATTTAAAAAATGTAGACTACAGGCTACAGGAGGCTAAATGGTTTGGGACTGGTGACATTCGCTTTGAATTATGCATTCAATGATGTGGCTGAATATTTGAAGAAAGTCTCTGTTAATCTTCCATTTTGACATTTGCTCTACTGGCTTTTTGAGAATCAGGTAATACAGAGAGTTGTTGCAAATTCAAGATAGACACATTTAGGTTTATTTGTGTAATTGATCAAGAGATGAATTTTGATCTGTGCTTTTCTGCCTTATCATGAACGCATATTCAAGCGAAGTGTGACTAATGCTCCAAAGTGTCTGCATGGGTAGAAGACAACTGGTGAAGACACTTGTGAGTCGGCGCAGCACACTTTTATAACGATAGATGAAGTTATTTTAACTTGAAGACCATAGCTTTCCCTTCAGATTAGTCACACACTCATGTTATCTTTCTAACAATAAAGACTTTCAATATTTAACTTGTTACAAATAAGAAGGTACCAATATATTAATCAAAAGTTGGCAGATGTATTTCACTTGTGATAAGGAGATGTACTGGAATCATTATTATTGAAAAAATAACAAAAAATAAAAATACACTAATTTCATTGCAACCTTTTTCAGTGTGGTTCCTTCTTGGTGACTTTATACTTACCCCATGGGGTTTCAAAGGCAAAAGGCAGTACTGAGTCTCACCAACTACTGAACAAATGCAGACCTATCCTAAATATGAGGATCTGGGTCCTCGAGAAAAAAAGAAGAAAAAATATCTATCCCTCAATATACAAAGACTAACTCGAGCCATGCTGCTCATACGAAAACTTGTATTTTGTGTTATGTTTCCATGTTAATGTCCCGCTCATAAAAAAGAAATCTCTAACAACCCTTTGTCATTTCCCACTGGCTTTGACCAATTAATTTAAAATGAGAGGGAGAGGAAGGGTGTGTGGGAGGTTTTAACTAGCAAAAGGTTTCCCTGTCTCGTCCTTGCCTTTGTATGTCCTCTTCCCGTGTGTGAAGGGCAGGTATCTGTACTTGACCATATGCTGGAGAAAGTGGGGAAGAAAAGAAAGAGAATTAACAATAGGTCATTCTAGGAATTTCAAACGTTTTTTTATCAACTTATCCAATGATACATTGGCACAAAGATTGCTCATCAGGTTGATAAAAAAAAAGACATCACAAGCAATGTGTTATCCAAAGAACACAGTTTTGTTAAACTGCAATGTTTGCAATTCACTGTGACTCTAGAACAGTGTCAATGTAACCAGTGGCTGTATACTATAGGTCAGTTCATGCATTTACCTTGATCTGCCTCTTCATGGTGATGCAGAAGAGCATGATGAAGTACATAACAAGAATAGGCCAGAACACTGGCACGTTGAAGGCTTCAAAAAATGTGCAAATCATGGCGATGACGATGCCTTTTGTCGCCGAATGCCTGCCAAGGAAAGTAACAGTTAAGGGACAGTGTAACCACATTTGTGAGGAAGCATAAATCCACAATTGAACCGTTCCCTAAATGTGTAATGTTCGGCCAAAGGCTAAAATATGGTTTGGTTTGCAATAATTGTGGCAAAAGTAATGTTAGGAAGTGGAAACACATTTGACAAATATCAATATCAACGAAAAGGTTGTTGGCTAAACATAATGCCCTAATATTCTAATGCATGGTAATTTCTCAGGTGCAGTTGTCACAGTGACAAATGATGAATTGACTACTCGGTACTATTTCAGTTAAATCAACCAAATGGTCATTCCATGGAAAGATGAACCAACACATTTCTTTTCATATAATAGGCAAATGCAAACCGCATGAGGGATGCAAAACCACCTTTTCTTCTTCCTGCCTGAGCAAACAAGAGTAATAGTTTGCATAAACACACTGCATGAAAGGTATAACACAAAGTGTTGATGCTAGAACACATAAATGTCGAGTTATGTTCAATTAGTATTTTTGTTTATCCACCATTTTTACAATTGCTGTACATTAACGGTCACAGCGGAAGTTTTTCAAGACTTACAAGGATCAAATAAGTTTCTATGTGAAAGGTCTCTAGGAGACATTAATGCTAAGGACATGGTCAATGAATGACATGCATGAAATCAGGGGCGTAACTATCGACGGTGCAGCCGGTGCAATGCACCGGGGCCCAGAGCCAGCCAGGGGCCCATGCATTTTTTTTTCTTTTTGGGCCCCAATGGCATTGATTGGTTCACGCAGTCTTCAAAGTAACATAAATTAATTTGTCTGTCCAATGACCTTGCTCCCTTTCATGTCATGTGAACCGTTTAATCAACCTGTACTGTAGCTAGCAGCAGCAAGTTCGGTAGCATTATAAAAAAAGTAATAGCTTGCATTTATAATGTACAGCAAACCAAAGCACAAGAGCAGCGCTCAAAAGAAAAAGGACAAGAGAGAACAAGGAGATGTAACCGCTAAACTGACAAAATTGCTCTAACGTTAGCAATGTTGACGTGCAGCGGCAGCCGGAGGCTAACG